CCTTTATTAGTGATTCTTCTGTCCCACCCCCTGCGCACATCCAAAAGTATGCTGATGATGTCGTTTTGTCTCAGACAATTTCATCTCCCTCGGACCTTTATTCTTTTACTGAAAACCTATCTCACATCCAACAGTTTTCTGACCAATCTGGTCTCAGTCTTAACATATCTAAGTGCGTAGAGTGTATTTTCAGTCTTTCCCGCTCCTCATTTCCAACGGACTCTGCTAGTCTTAACGATAAACCTGTATCTAGAATGACCTCAGTGAAGTACCTGGGTGTCACCATCGACAACAATCGTTGTTGGTCTACACATATTCACAACTGTGTGGGAAAACTGAGACGCCTATCTTTTCAGTTACGGATCACATGCAATCACAAGCTTAGTGCATAAACATACAACAATCGGACTGACCTGCACCCGATTCAAGGTCATTTGCTACGGTCAACGTGGCCAAATCCCCGAGAGCTAATCCTTCATTGGCCCCAGGCAGTTTAGCGGCATCCAGTCCGCTTGTAGGCTGTGGAGGTTGAGGACCATAAACGTTGTAATTCAACATATCGTCTATATCGTCGTCAGCAGAATCCGATGCTTTTTGGCATTTCATGTTACCACGTTTCCTTAATTCGTCAACATCCGTAGACAATGCATCGATGAATTCCTGAAATTATGATGAACAAGAGGAGGACAATGGTACGGTGACTTAGGGAGAACAGCTCACATGATACCTGTCCGGCTCTAAACGATGAGCCCTAAACAAATAAACATGGAAAATGACCTGGATAACCTAAAACAAACATAAATATATGTACATATATAACATAGTCAATTACATAGAATTGGCAGATGTGCCACAATATATGAAGAGATGTACAAACGGTTTGAATGTGAATCCACAAATAAGAGTCTCGCAATAGGTGCGCCATTGACGCCGGTTACCAGCCTTGTCTCTAAATGTAACAAACCATAGATGTTCTCTGTCCTTGGAACCCCAACCTGGGAGTCTAGAGCGTCCTACCACTGTTAGTTTTGAGGTTAGCGCCTTCATTGTTCGAGCCCAGGTTATTCGCTGTCCACCTTGTCGCCGCTTCCAGTTAGTGTCTGCTTGCGCAAACATAACACAACGGGGCAATCGTTGAGCCGGCATCCGCAACACATGTCCTAGCCAACGAAGTCTCTGGAGCGAGATGATGACACTCAGAGGGTAACAGATTGTGTGTGGTCAAGATTCTTCGGCGAACCTCGTTGTTGGTGATTCACTATTGGCAACGTATTCTGGCGATGCAACGAAGGCAACGGTAGTCAAAGACACTTAATCTCCGTACGTCTTCTGCACGGAGGGGCCAACTCTCAGCCGTAGAGGACAGAGCGCATTGTGGCATTAAAAACGCGACCTTTCAAGGAGAGACTGAGATCACGTCGGTGCCACAAATGACGTATGTTGGTGAAAGCCACTCGAGCCTTGCGGATACGCGTTGATATTTCTTCCGTCAGTCCTCTTGATCTGAAACAACTCACGAGATAAGTAAAATGATCGACGATTTCTAACTGGTCGTGCATGAGCGTGAGGACAGATGTAGCCCCTTGCCATTCTTGTAGTGAAACCTTGCATTTCGATGGAGAAAATGTCATACCAAACTGCGTGACGGGCAATGCCAACTTACACAGGACGTTTTGAGCGTCCTGGGAGGAGTCACAGAGTAAAACGATGTCGTCAACACATTCCAAGTTACGGAGTCGATCACCTGGGAGGAACTCCATGCCGGAAGCTCTGAAGTTTTCTAGAGCGCTGCTTAGGATTTTGTCTACTGCATAATTAAAGAGGAAGGACAAGGCCCGGTACTCTTTTCGAACTCCGCATTGAGATGGTAAATGAAGGGGAGATGCGATCATAGACCTTGACGCGGTTTGATGTGTTTGACTAGACGGCTTTGAGGTTTACATACTTCTCAAGCACGCCACTTCCTAACCGACAGGTTCAAAGAGCTGCTCTGTCAACTGAGCCAAACGCAGCACGTATGTCCAAAAACACTGTGATGGTCGGTCTACTGAACGTTTGGTGTTGCTCGAGGATCTGGTGTAGCGTAAATATATAATCAACGCAGCTCCGGCCAAGGCGGAATCTAGCTTGTTCTTTGCAGATATGACGCTCTCTCACCCAACTGAGCCGGCGAAGGATCAACGACGTTAACAAACCGCTAACAATAATCAATCTGACTTACGGTAATATTGATACTTTCCGGGTCCGTATTATTGCCTTCTTTTAGGCCACTGATGAATGAAGAAACAGCACTGGCAACAGACCCTTCAGTTGGGCTCATCTACCGGGATAGGGGTAGAGGGGGGAAAAAGAAATGGTGTGAAACATGATCATCAGTGTGATGTTCCGAGCATCGCTGTTGTGAAACTACTTGGACACAAAAGCAGAGATATGCACACATTTTCACAGAGATGAAATCAATTGCAAATGACAGATTTGACGAATGGAGTACAGCAAATTTTATGGTGATTTAACGTCTGACGTTAAACACTTCCACGAACGAGACCACCTTGATCGCATCTTCTAAACCAATATATCCATAGACTGAAACGACTGATCTATACAATTCGATAAGCACTTGCTAGCTTAATCTATTTGAATGGATTATCCTTGAAATCATCATCCTCACAGCAGATTACATCAGGATGCTTGTTTTCATACACACATATATATATATCCTTTTGGAAACTACGCAGCTGAGGGCCATTCACTCTAATTATGGTACATAACGGACGACAGTGTCGCCGAAAATACAACGGATGACAATTATTAACAACAAACTTCAATGCCGACAAGCATAAAAAGAAACTTACCTCATCTCCAAGACCCAATGTATGCTTTGATCGACCTTGCTCTCCCGAAGAATGTCCCCCCGTGCGTCGAAACCTGTTCACCCATGTGGTATCATTCGAATCGTAAGAATCCGGACCTCCGAGGGATTGTCCAGTAGTATCCGGTTCCGCACAGTCATCGCCTAATTCGGGACGTGAAGCATTGCCTGTACGCACAGCTTGATCCATCTCCGCCAGTGCTGACTCAATCAAGTCATCGGACGCACTGATATCGATTCGGGTGGAAAGATGTATTGACAGGCATCCGGTGTCAGACAAATCAGCAGAACCTTGTATAGTTTATACCATTGTGGCTTCGAAATAGATGGTCTCTTCGATCTCATTCAATCATATCCGATAACCGGGACACATACGTCGATTTTAAGTACTGAATATTCCTAACAGTCTAACATTATACCTGGTCTATCGCTGTTCTGCCGTTCGCCAAGATTCAGGTTGCATTTATCCTAATAAAGCAATCAACGGGACTATGAGATTGGGCTTCCGAAACCCTTAGTACGATGTCATGGGACCAAGCATCTCCAACAGCCTCTGCTGGGGAAGCTCCACTCACTGCTTTCTCGTGGCAAAAGTATGGGAGGACGAAAAGGCAACATTCGGGGCTGTAACCGGATCGGTGAACTACTGGCATTCCAACTACGGGAGTTGGTTAAAAAAACTTGATTTAAAACCAACCAAGAGGCGTATGAACCACACACACTGCTGATTGTGTCAGTGGTCACTGGCTCGATTGGGCTTTCAGGTGGACTGGGCACTCTGGACGTTTGATCGCGTGCGAAGGGAATATGATCCGATGAACTTGGTGGTGGCCCTTAATGGATTGAGGTTTTACACACTGATCCCGTTGTGAATCTTCGAAAACATCTACTTTCTTTGATCAGGGAAATTCGGCAGTACTCTCAGTCGCATACAAATTACGAATCCACTTTTTGTGAAGCTTGTTGTACTGTGATTTGTTTGACACATCGTACGCTCAAGGTATGTTTAAGAACTCGGAGAAGAGTTAAAATATTGTTAATCTGATTTTCAGGCATGCATACATAACTCGTGTGAAGCAATGAACGCAGTATATGAGCGAGAAACTCTCAAACGAAGACAGATTCAAACATTTACTTCTGAATTAAACCGTTTAGTGGCGAATGTGGAAGGCCAAAAACATTTTATGTATTCTGCTGTGCAATGGCAGCATACGAGTTGACACACCCCCTCAAAGTGCTAGTTCATCGTGATGGAATCCAAGTGGACCAGTGAACTTTTCAGGATTTTACTAACCGGTGGAACAAGTAACCACTGATTTATAATTGATAAAAGACAAAGTCGAAGTTACAACTGTATACGTACATGTATAAAATTTTCGGTTAAAAGTAACTCACCCAGCTACCCCATTTGCTTTCTCATCTGAGGTTGCCCCGGCCCAAGGACCATCTAGTCGTAGGTGTTGCTTAACGCCAGGGTCAATAGCAGCGCCCTCCTGATCAAGAGCACCACGCCAGCCAGGAGTGGACATCAGTAGCTGAAGAACCCTTGCCTGTCGAACATTCAATAAGGCATCTGCAGAACCGATTTCTTGAAGGTATCTGCAATAAGAGTTTGATTGTTGGAGAGCATAAATAACACGATAAAAAGTTTGATGGACAAAAATATTTGGACTACTTTTTGGTAAATTACATTGACAAAGTATATACACATTGTTTGTAGTTTTGTTGCTAATTTGGGCGAAAACTGTTCATATGATGAACGCGATATGCGCAAGGTCCACGTAGAATTTATAAGCTTGGCGGTTCAAGTGCCAAGTGGCTTGAGGAAGGAAATTAGCTTTCAAGCGTCGAACTATTTTTAGACATGTCACGCTCCACGCACATACGACGTTTTTCATTTTTTTCAGCACTATCGAGTGTAGAGTAACTCAAGAAGTGGGGAATTGATGTAAACATTCTCTCAAGGTAATCTGTGGGCATCATCATTGTGAATCGGTGACCCAATGGTTTAGTCGCTGTCATCGGCATGCTTTGCACCCTANCTATGGTCCGAGCTTCGCCACCACTGCCAACTTTGGTGGTGGGCAGCTTTGCTGCCGTCCGGTTCAATACCACGCCAGGCCTGGCGGAGCCTTGTGGTTCGTCAGTCGAAGTCCCCGCGGCTTAGGTTACCAGTATCCATCACTGAACAGCAGGTCATTGAGACTGTGGGGTTTACCCCGTCTGCTGTTCGTCACATAAAGGTGTGGGAAAACTACTGTTTACAACAACTAGCCAGAATGTTATTGAATGTTTACATTAATCGATAAGACTGGTTACAAAAAGCATAGCGTATTGATTTTATTGCACCAGTTTTCCTTCATTGGAGTCGATATATTGGTGTGATAAGTTTCAGTTTTAGTTTTCACAACTACGTACCATGCACTCTCGTGCAGGCGGTTTTGGATGCTGTCTTAAGGCTACCCAGTTGGAAAGAAGAGCAGAAAGTGGATTGGAATGTGGCAAGCAGTGTTGAACATCAGAAAGGGGAACCCTATAGTTTGCGGGTCTTGTATTTTTTGATGAGAAGTATCTTGGCTCTACGATAAGACNATAAGGATGAAATCCAACTCCGTGTAGATGGAGCTAGAAGAGCCTTCCTGAAACTCCTCAAACCGTTGTGAAATCGATGCGAAATAAGCCTAAACACTAAGCTTCGGGTTTATCAGGCTTCCATCCGCCCCATCCTCACTTATGGTTGTGAAACCTGGCCCCTAAGAGTACAAGATACAAGGAAGCTCGAAGTCTTTGATCATTGGTGCTTACACCGCACCTTGAAAGTAAACTGGAGAGATCGGATTTCCAATGATGAGGTTCGACGGCGCTGCTTGAACATCGACAAGCTTTCGAAAACGCTACAACGCCGGCGCCTTCAGTGGTTTGGCCATGTGCTCCCAAGGCCCAACACTCAACTTTCGCGACAGGCTGTAGCCCCCGCACCGTGCCGTGGATGGCGTTGCCGACTCGGTGGTCAACTGAAAACCTGGAGTAGTACGATCAAGGCGGATTTGGAATTACTGGGTCTTCAATCCGTATATGGAATTCGCAACTGGAACCAGAACTGGGTTTCTCACTGCGCCAACCTTGCTACCGATCATCACGCATGGGCCGCCATCATTAGAGACATCCACGAAGCCGACTTATCCTCGCGCAGGAGTTAGTCGATCAAAAGTAAAAAAGCAAGTTATGAGAACCGGTTAACTAAGCTCTGGGACTTGCAGTAAGAAACTACACAAAGTTTCGACAGCACAGGTGTAACATCATCATCATCATCGAAGAGCGAGATAAAGAGAAGTAAAGTTCGCTGACCGCTGCCAAACTCTCAGTGTACACAAAATGAGTGCTAAAATACAAGATGGATAGGGTTTGGTAGTAACTGGAGGGAGGCAAAGAAAGTGAAACTCTACGGACAACACAGCACACAATCCAACTAAGCATACATACCGTTTCAAGCATTCTGGCCTGACTGATCAGAAATGAGTCAAAACGCCACGACTGTCGGTTAGTTGCCATATTCTTCGGTGTCTGCAACCAATCAGTTAATCTTTCGGACCCCACTCTAGGAGACAAAGCACCCAATCTAACTAATCAATCCGTGCATACCTCGTTTCCGCGACATCTGTTGACTTCCACGTTCAGTTTAGTTCAGTTTGCACAACCATTAACCATGCACTTTCGTATGCCGGTTTCGGTTGCTGTCCTTTGGTTACCATTTGGATGAAGAATAGGAGAGACAGGAAAGTTAAAAGTAGAGTCGAACAGAAAGTGGAGAAGTTCAGTGGTCTAAGATTACAACAAAATTGAGAAGATGCACGAACGCCACTGTTTACGATACTCAGCCATTCCACTGCCTCTAACCATCGGGTACGATCATATCGAGGTCCCCATCCAGGGAGCCTAACGGGACCTATGTTACCCAGACCCCTTCGTCGGTGTGGGCAATCGCGAAGAATATCGTGCCCTAAAGTCTTGGGCACCCATTTGTAAGACCATCTTTCCCATTTGTCTGGTTTTTCTTCTCAATCTCGAATAATCCCAGATGCCTCTCATTTACGCCACACATCGAATATCAATCGGAGTTTTACAAGCAAGGCCAGACAATCAGAAGTTGCAGGGTTTTTAAAGCCAAAATCCCCTTTTAGTTAGCCGCGTTTAATGTCCGCACACCCTATCAGATCGGTCAACAAGCTGAATTGCCTAGAACCCTCTCCAAAACACGCATACAAGACCCCACTTCCGTTATATCCCTGCGCTCTGATCCAACCTCAACCTCACACTTCGCCCTTCGTGCCAAGCGATTCGGCATCCGAAGCTCGCGATGTCGCTGGTGTTGGGATTGCGCTAAGTGCCAAGGCTGAGCGTTCGCTTCTCCACTGGATTCCAGTTTCAGTTTCAGTTCAGCTTTTACAACCATTAACCATGCACTTTTATGCGCCGGTTTTGGTTGCTGTCGTTTGGGGCCCCACTTCGATAAAAGAGCAGAAAGAAGATTGGGATGTTGAAAGCAAATTCAAGCGTAAGATGGAGAATTCATATAGAATGGTGTTAGGGGAATAATGAATGAATGCACTGGATTCCAGTCAGTAGCCGACTGTGCGCTGTACGTCTCAACGGTTCAGCACGGATCAACAGCTACAGAATGAAGCGTCGACGCTTGTTCGTCGTATAAATGGATGCACCGACCGACTGCAGTATATCTGAAATCAAGGAAGAATTCTACAAGGATCTTTCTAAACTGCTCCAAAGTGTTCGATCAACGGATTATTGTGGTGGTCGATGGAAACTTATATGCTCAAGTGGGATCCCTGGACGAATCAGAAAGGCATTTTAGCGGACCACATGCAATCCCAGCCGACCGGACGGACAACGGAGATCGCCTATTTCAACTCTGCGCGGACCATGTTCCTATCAAGCACGAACTTCTCGCACAAGAAACAACACCGCCTCACATGGAAACAACCAATCTCTTCAGTCCGCTGGACCCAGATTGACCACATCGCCATCAGATACCGCTGGAGAGGGTCGATTCAAGACTGTCATTCTTACTGGTCCACACCTGTGGATACGGATCACGCCTTGTTACGAACCAAATTCTCCTTACACCTGACAAAACCGCAAAAAAGCCACCGACAACGGATACCCACAATACAGCGTTCGCGATTGCTGCAAATCAGCTTTAGAAGCAGAACTCTCCGATCGCCTGTCAGTTCAACCACCAGTCGAAGGACTCAGTGAACATTGGAAGCAAATCAAGGAAGTTATGCAAATAACAATAAAAACAACGTCTGACCCTGACACATATTCAGAAGACAAACGATGGATCTCGTCGACTTCGGCTGCCCTGCTGGATGCCCTCAGAACCCTCCTTCCCGATGCCACATATGACACAGAGCGCAAATCTCTCAAAGGCCAACTCATCAAGAGTCTGAGGAATGACCGCGAGAAGTGGTGGGTAGAAAAGTGTAGACATGGAGAAAGCTGCGGCTATTGGTAATAGTCGTAACATTTACCATCTAATTAGGAATACGGGCCCTAGGAAAATAGGCGTGAGGTAATTAAGGAATCCGATGGCACACTGATTCACGATCAGCAACGCCGTCTTGACCGTTGGGCTGAACACTTATAGGCTCAGTTCAAATGGCCTCCATCGACATCAGATCTTTCATCCTCCACGTGCTGTGCAAAGTTGGATTATGTGGCGGCTGGAGACATCCCATCACATGGTCAACCTCCGAAGATCCCTTTGGTTTCAGTTTGTACAACCATTGACCATGTACTACCGTGCGTCGGTTTTGGTTGCCCATTTGGATGAAAATCAAGAGAAAGACAGGAAAGGTTGAAAGTAGGATCACAGAGAAAATTTAGAATTTCAGTGGATTAATGCTGCAGAGAAATTGACAAGATGCACAAACGCCACTGTTTACGACACCCAGCCATATCACTGTGTCTCTAATAATCGGGTACGATCATCCCGAAGTCCCCATCCAGCGAGCCTAACGGAACCTGTGGCCCGGACTCCTGGTTAGGGTTTACATACCCGATTGAGTTGTACGTCGGATTTACGAATATTGCAAAGTAGATAGAAAGCCAGGTGCTGCGCGCGCGCATTTACATCGAAATAACTGTGAAAAACCTACAGCAGGCTTGAATTCAAAAACCAACAGCAGTCGAGATATTCAGACTCAAACTTACTGACGTAAACGACAACGGCTCTCAAGCCAATTTCTCCGAGCCTCTAAAGTTTGCTTCGTGGTTCGATTTAACTTCGCACAAGGTTCAAGAGGTTTCGGTTTTGGGCTATCTGGGAGAAACCGAGATGGAACTACGGCAACAGAAGCTGAAGCAGCATTCGAAGAGTCTTCCGCCGGTGGTCGTGAACCCGACTGAGCCGCGGCAGCAACGGAAGCCTTGAACTGATGGAATTTTACACGCTCTTGTTTCAGGGCGTATTCCAACATTTTGATGCGTCGGACAAGGTCCTTCTTCAAGTTTTCTTGTCCACGGCGCTCGCCAACTAGGAACGCAATGCGAGCCTGCAAACAGCGGAAAAAAGAGGGGCACGTTTTAATACGCTATAGCATGTTGAAAAGGAACGGATAGACCCTTAACTCTAGGAAATCTATTACCGAATAAGAATATTAGACTATCTGAGCCAACAGATAATTGATGAATATGACTTGCCACGTAAGAAGACATTAAATTACGAGCCAAAGATCAGTCCTGTTTTTTGATATTGAATATTGATTGCACAGCAAGCAATATTATCATAAGAAATGGACTGCTGGTTGGTTATAGTCATCATCAATCATCACCACTGTACGGTGTAATACAGTGAAGCGGACTTCACTGATCGCTACCAAACTCATATTGCATACAACGTAAGTGAGAATATGTAAGGGGCATAGGGATTGGGCCTACATTCAGGGACGAGAAAAGAAAGCGAACCTCTATGGTCAACACACAGAGTACTTAGTCCAACTGTGCATACACACAATTTCAAGCATTCTGGTCTGATAAGTGACAGCAAGATCGCCATTGCTGTTGGTTTGCTGTCATCCCCTTCAATGTCTCCAACTATGCGGTTTCGAAGTCCTCCGGACACCAACCCGGAAGACGAGAGACACCTACTCTACCTAATCGCTCTGTGCATTTCTTCATGTCTCGTCATCTGTGACCTCCATTGAGCCTCCTCTAGCCTGTTACAGCCACTGCGGTAGACGACCGTCGGATATACGCAAAACTTATCCTAACCAACGGAGCCTATTGAACTGGATTTGATGCGGTAGCGAGTTTCTGTCCGATGCATTGCAAAAATCCCGAGGACTTACTTCCAAGTTACTAACCCGCTTACTCCATCCCACTTGGGCCAGACTACGTAAGCATCGATTGTCGAAAACCACTGGGCGACGGGTGTCCTCTATAAGCAAATTCAAGGTCTCATGACTGTAAAGTAGAACTGGTCGTACGGTGGCGCAGTATACGCAACTTTTCAACTTAAGTGAAATCTTATGTCGTCGAAAGCCTCAGTAGGATAGGGGTGGGTATCTTGGGTTGTGACTAGTCATCCCTCCCTTACACTTCAGGAAATGCTTTCAATCGTCTCAAATAGCCTCTCTGTTGACGTAGCTCTACTCACTTCCTTTATGTGGAAAACGTGTTTTCCTACCAAGTGAGAGGACAAAAATCCAACATTGGGGTTGTAAGCGAATAGGTGAAACGCTGGCAGTTCGCCCGGTTAAAATCCCTGATTTCTAATCACAAACAGGTGTACGGAAGACATGTTTCTGGCCGCGGATTTGGTCATTGGTTCAACTGCGTGTCGGTGCATTGGGCACTTCGGACATTTGACCTCGTGCAAAGGGCGTATACCATGATGAATTGGACTCTAGGCCGCAGTGGATTGTGGACTTTGCGCTTCATCCCGCAATCGTGTAGATCAGGCTTTCTAACCAAAAGCTTCGGGCGGAGGCCCAAGAATATCCTCCTGTGAGGTCCTAAGTACGATGCCCAGTTGGATCGATAAATTCGCACAGCTGTCCAGTGCGTCCCAGCTTTTCAGCTCATGCCTTATTTGCACGACGAATTCATCAGCAAATATCCTCCTTCTTCGGCTAGGGCAACAGGTAACTCACAAACACTGTCTCAGATTTTCCAGTTTTACTCCAAGAAACTTCGCGCTTTTTTCATCGATGTGTTGGTAGTCGGCTCCACAGATTTCCACGCTACCGCACCAGCAAATCACATCCTTTCCCTTCGTGTTCAACATTCCTATTGCCGGTTTACCACCCATGATTTCGAGCCTTCAGGATAACGGAAGAACACTGGAACTTATGCATGCTCGAAAGAGACAAGTACCGCTCAGGTCATTCGAAAAACGGTACTCAAGCACCAGTCACAGCTGAAGTTGGCTACTTTCAACATCCGAACGGTTATGCAAGTAAGGACCCGAGCCACACTCGCTCACACGTCGGAAACGCTGACCATGTATGTTTGCTGTTTTCATGAGACGCACCCACAGGATTCAAGCACCTCGTTCACAATCGATTGTTGGAATATCGAAGCAAATTCAAACGGAAGGTGGGAAATTCATATAGAGTGGTTAGGAGAATAACGAGTGGATGCACGAGCGCCACTGTTTGCTACCGACTACGTAAGCCGAACCGATGATCCGCACAGAACTGAATTAGCCGATTGCCTGTCTGTTACCTGAGTGGGTAGAACGAAAGGACCCGTACAAGCTTAGGATATGCTGTTTTCCAACTTGCGGGTTAAAAAAACCTGATAGCACAATTATATCAGATTCGACAATCAGTTGGATGAGTTTGACAATTTGGTGGTAGAATTCATTCTTTTGAGTATTGTGACTGCGGTTGGAAGGCGCTTTTATTACACAATGTGAATTACAGTAAAAAGGGAAAATCGCCGTGGACAAATAGCAAACTGTAAAAGGGAGAGCAGAGGGACGTTCATGTAAGCTTTGTAAACAACTATGTTGATAGCTGCTTTTGTGGCTCGGGTAGTGTAACTTGATGTTCAGTTGTTTGTCGAGCTTAGCAATCATATTGCAAACGTTTCATCACTAATATAGGTGACATTCTTGGTGCAGTTGGTGATAAAACGTTTGCAGTACAATTGCCAAGCTCAGCGAGCAACTGAACATCAAATCCACGTAAGCTTCAGTTTATAAATTCTGTGTTTAAAAGCGTAGTTTTGTAAGTTGGTGAAAAACAGCAAGTGGGAGGGTGTTCCACAGTTTAGCAGTTTGGGGGAAAAAAGATAGGAGTAGAGAGGTACGACATTTGGGAACGGAAATCTGAAAAGGATGACTAGATGTCTGTATACGGGATAGGCGGGTAAAAGTTGCAGAAAGAGGAACTGCCGAAGCAATTCCCGAAGAACAAAAACCGAAATAGTAGCAGTAGAAAAGGAACAATGAAGCAACTGCCCGACGATGGTTTAGCGACTGCAGACTGGATGTTAGGGAAGAATCATCGATGGCCTTTCGTTGGACACGATCGAGAGGGGAATGAGAAGAGGCTCCACCCCACATGTGACTACAGTATGCAAGAGCAGGGCGGATTTGAGCTTTGTACAGTAGATGAGTTGGGGTGAAAAAACTTCTGGCACGAAATAGAAATCCAACCTTGTGCGCAGCACAAGAAGCAAGCTTAGGTTTAAAAAAGGGGACCAGCGTAAAAAAGTTATAGGCAACACAAGAAGGGAAATGGAGTTTGTGGAACGCAGTTGGGTGGAATTAAAAGCTAAATGGGGTGAAAATGAATGGTGTAAAAAAAATTGAGTGAAGAGAGGATTTAGAACTATTGAATAAAACGATACAACGACATAACGAGACTGCACCTTGGCGTGGTATGATGGCTTGCGTGCCTCCATGATCCTGCGAGCTATACAGGATGGATCCTTACAGCAGCAGATCTAATCAAGCCTGAAAGGTCAATGGGTAGAAGCCAGACGAACATCAGTCTAACAAGGCCAGCTGCTTGGGTACCTCCTGGATTTCTTCGTCCACCCACATCCGACTCTGGAGAGGCAACTCCAGCAAATAAACACAGTGAGGGACAGTTTACCGGTAAAAAAAATTCCCGCTAGATGGACGTAGGGGGTACCTGGGGCTTCCTCTCGACGGTGGAAGTTTCCGCACTTCATTGAACAGCTACCGCCCGCCCAAGCTGGGCAGCCCCGAACCAATAAGGTGCTGTCCCATCCACGTTCCGCTTGTCTCATTGGGTGCATGAGGCTAAGGGCCGATCCCGACCGAAAATCAACGCACCAGCGAACAACGCAATCAATCGAAATTCAAAGGCCTCGCGTGATAGGTCTCTAGAAGATCCCACATGGGTGCTTCGATTACGCTCCAGCGTTGGATTTACGCCTGGCTGCCTTGTGGGTCAGACTTTTGAGTCGAAGGCTCTTTCGTCGGTTTAGGCAACCGCGCAGTATGCAATGTCTCAAAGTCTTAACTACCCATTTGGAAAACCACCCTTCTCAACTGTCCACTACCTCTTATTTTCAAACCTGAGGAGATGCACCCTGTTTGCGTCACCCATCGGATATCACTCAGCGTTCAACCAGTGAGGTCAATCAACCAGGAACCTGCAGGTTTTTGAAACCAAAATCTCCTTTTCACTTAGCCGCATTTAATGCATACACACTCTACCAGATCGGTGAACAAGCTGCCTTGAAACTTTCGATTGAGATGTATGTTGTCTCCGAAACACGCATACAAGACCCCACTTCCGTTATATCCCTGCGTTCTGATCCAACCTCAACCTCACGCTTCACTCTCCGTGTGTCAGGCGATTCGGTATCCGAAGCTCGTGCTGTTGCTGGTGCTGGGATTACGCTGAGCGTCAAGGCCGAGCGTTCACTTCTCGACTGGATCCCGGTTACCAGCCGACTTTGCGCCGTAAGTCTGGATGGTTCAGTAAGGGTCAACAGCTACAGAATGAAGCGTCGATGCTTATTCATCGTACCGCGTATGCACCGATTGATTGCAGCTCGCCAGACATAAAGGATGGATTCTACAAGGATCTTTCTCAACTGCTCCAAAGTGTTCGATCAACGGACATTGTGGTAGTCGCTGGAAACTTCAATGCTCAAGTGAGATCCCTGGACGAATCAGAAAGGCCACTTAGTGGTTCATATGCAATCCCAGCCAACAGGTCTGACAACGGAGAACGCCTACTCCTAATTTGCGCTGACTACGGACTGTTTCTGTCAAGCACGAACTTCACGCACAAAAAACGGCATCCTCTTACATGGAGACCACCAACTTCTTCACAGTGCGGAACTCAAATCGACCACATTGCCATCAGCCACCGCTGGCGAGGACCCATTGAGGACCGCCGCTCCTACTGATCAACACCCGTGGACACGGACCGGGCTTTGCTACGAGCGAGATTCTCCCTATGTCTAGTAAGCAACTGCAGAAAAGCCACCGAAAACGGATGCGCAAAATAGTGTCAGCAATGGTTGCAAATCGGCCTACGAAGTGGAACTATCATATCGCCTCTCAGCTCAACTATCAGCCGGAGGACTGAGTGAACACTGGACGACAATCAAGGAAGCGATTCAAATGTCAACCAAAACAACGGAGAATTCCGGCTCACGATCAAATAAAAAAGATGGATCTCCCCGAACTCGGTTGCCTTGATGTACGCTCGCAAAGCCATTCCTTCGGATTCAAAATACGATAAAGCGCGCAAATTCCTGAAACACCAGTTCATCAAACAAAAAACAAATGGGGAGAAGTGGGATGAAGAAGACGCGCTTTATATTGTGTTCACAACACAGGGAGACGAAAAAGGAACCCCATTTAGTGACAATCACATCACCCGATTCGAGCTATTCGAGCCTATATACAGATACGCCTCTGTGTGTGTAAAGTTAACCTGTTTGCCCGTTCGGAGTCGTTAGTGTCTTGGAGACACCACGAGAATCCTGATCACAATAACTTTCTCTACCAACGAATTTTATATTTGATCCCTATTCAAAATGAGGAATGTGATCAGAGCTCAAATCATGCGGCAGCTCATTAACATCGGATTGCACGTGGCTCGTCGGTTTCGTGATCGACCTTGCCCCAGTATTGACGGGCCTAAAAGTATTCCAACTACTACTTTTCTGAAGGTAGAAGAAAACTACCTTCACCGGATTTTACTAAGCAGCAGGATGTAAAACGTATTGAACAACTTTTGTAGAATAAATATGCATTTTTCCATGATCTTTTTTTCTTTCCCCCGGAATTCTATCTTCAACGTAGTTAGTAAGATCGTTCAACGCGAAAAGCGCCAGTTGGTAAAATTCCAAGAAGAGTTTTGTGTTGGCCTGTATTAGTGGATAATGTAGTCCGTACTTGAGGCAAGTTTGAAGTTTTATTATGATTATCTGTTTAGGGGACCCGATTAGAAAAGCAATGCGTGTATCTTAGATGAGTCAAACGCTGGTCCAGAGGCATCATCGCTTGAGCGTTTTCAATTCCGAATTTCTCATATGGCACATCGTTCCACAACGGATTTTCTTGTGGTGATTCTCTACCAACACTTAAGCAGCATCGGACTCAGTGCTTATCCTTCTCCTATGCCGGCTCAAAATCACAAGGCCGATCGGTTTCGATCAGTCGGATATAGCGCAGCCGCAACAAGGGACCTGGTGCTTGCCCAGCTAACCCGAGCGAGAAACCACACCTTGTTTACAGACGTAAGTCTTAAACAGACCCAGTGAACTTCGACTGTACAGCAAGCTTGCCATCACCACACAGATGGACTGTACGTGACACCAAGAGCATTACAAAACGTACTAGATAAGGTGAAACGACGGAGCAATCGCACTATCGTACTACCCACATAGCAACATGACATCTTAAATTGATATTCGGACATCTTAAATCGAAAAAGGTACAGGGATGTGTACTTCACCCATTGATCCTGTAAATCGTGTTCACCCAATTACATTCAACCCGCTCTAGTCAGTTCAGTGATCTGTGTTCTTCACAAACCCGGGTGGGGAGCCGTATAGTTGTAACAAAATTATCTCCTCAATGCATAAATGAGGAATGCTAATTGCTAACTATAGACGTCTGAGGAATGACCGCGAGAAGTGGGGGAGGGTATAGAGAGGTGGAGAAGGCTGCGGCTATTGGTAATAGCTGCAATTTTTTCCGATCAATTGGGAGCATGGGTCCAAGGAAAGGCAATTAGGGATTCCGACGGCACACTGATTCATATTCACCGAAAGACAACAACTAAAACTGGTGCAGGTAAGTGCATGGTTGATGGTTGTAAAAACTAAAAAACTGAAACCGATTTAGCAATGCCGTCTAGATCGACGGGCAGGACATGTTAGGGCTCAGTTCAGCTGGTCCTCGTCAGCACAAGACCCTAACTGTGCAAATGCTGCCAGGTGAAATTAATGCTCCATCTGAAATGGTTACCCGAGAAATAAATTATCTCAAAAGGCATAAGGCTTCCGACACCGACGGGCTGTCCTCATCGGTTTTTAAGATGGATGTTCAGCCTTGGTTTTGGAGTTAACGACACTTCTGGGCTCAATATGGGAAAGGAAGCAGGTCCCAAATAAATGGTGTGAATCGGTGATCATACCGATTTACAAGAGGGGCAAAAGGCCCTCTTGTGAAAACCACGGAGGAATTAGTTTAATCAACATTGCCTCTAAACTGCTCTGCCGAACGTGAAGAGTGAACACGTGAGAACCAGGCTGGTTTTAGATATTTTCGAGGCTGTATCGACCGTCTTCATTCTTCGTCAAATCCTAGAACACAGACTCCTTTCGTAGATCCAACATTTCTACCTTCCTCGATCTGAAAGCGGCTTTCGACTCAGTCGATCGCTCTAAACTCTGGAGCTGCCTTTCACTGAAGCGTGTGCCCGCGAAGTTAATTTCAATATTACAATCCCCGTACAATAATAGCCGAAGTCGAGTTAGGGCTTCCGGCACTTTCTCACCCGAGTTAATTGCAGAAAGTGTTGTTCGGTAGGGTTGCACTCTCCGTTTCTATTCAACTTTTTAATGGATTTAATTTTTGAAACCGCACTATCCTCGAGCGAGGATAGCGATATCGAGTTAATTCCTGGTGGCAAACTGTCTGATCTAGAGTATGCAGACGACATTGCGCTACTAAGTGAAGATCCAGGTAAGTTGAAAGTTTTTTGGATAGTTTGAATGCTAGTGTAGCCACGTTCGATATGCGTTTTTCTCCTTCAAAGTGTAAAATGTTACTAAAAGATTGGGTTGGTCCAGCCCCCAACCTCACACGACTGGGGAAGTAGTAGAAGTAGACGAATTTTGCTATCTGGGCAGCTATATCTCATCCGGCAGACGCATCACAGGTGAAGTGTCGGCGAGCATACCAAAGGCTCGGTTGGCATTTTCCAAATTTAGACATCTGTGGCACCGTCTCGACATCTGTGAAGGGTCGAGTATATGCTGCAGCAGTTCGACCAGTACTGCATTACGGTGCAGACTTGGCTATTACGGGAAAAGGATAAAAATAGCTTGTCGGTGTTCGAACACCGCTGTCTACGTAGCATTGCACGAGTCTGACGGGGTAACCGGACGAGCAATGCTTGAATGTCCTCGTCTTTTTAATTCCTTTTTTATTTATTGAATATACAAATGTACAGTCAACACTCAGCAAAGTTGGCGGCGGCCATACAAAGGTTGCCTGGAAAGACGGGCGGCGGTGAAGTGGTTCAAACCCGGGACTCACGGGCCACAAGTTGGTGGCCTAACCACTTGGCCACCACCGCTGCGGTTGGGTGTAGAGTTTTAGGTAATCACGGTCGTCCACTGGAGTAAGTAGTAGACCTTCATAGATTACGCTGGTTGGGACATGTGCTACGCATGTCACCAGA